AGGAATGTAGAGATTTACTGTTCTCTTATCCTTTGCGATTAAGTAAGCTAATCAATTATTAAGTAAGCTTAATAAGTTGCTTTTTAAATGAATTATAAAAAAGCATTTTCAATTTTGTACCCACCTCATGGATTTCTTAAAGCCTGTTCATAGTTTTCCAGGTAAAAATCTACACTAAGTGCTCTCTCTTGGCAATCTTGTCTGCTATCATTGTTTTGACTACTATGGTATAACCCGTAATACCCAGATCTCTTATCTCTAACGTAAACCTCTTCTTGTAGCTTCACATCTGTTACTCACATAGACACTAGCAGGATCTGACTAAAATACTGTAGTGACCATGTCTTGTCTGCTTACAAATTGTCTAGTGACCACCTAAACAGGTTAAATACAAACTCTTAACAGGCATTTAAAACTGTTAATTACCCTTCTTAGGTAAAACCTTTCCAGCTTAATCTTTTGTTATTTTCGCTTATACTTTGTACTTTTAAGTTTTCTTACTTTGCCAATTCCCAGCCGGAGTAGCAGTCCCCAGCATCATTGACATGTTACTGAAAAGAAATGGCTACTCTGTTTTCCCCTGGGTGTTGGAGCTTTGCTGGGAAAAAAAAAAAATCTCTGTCAGTTGAGGTATTTCTAACATCATGTTATTTAAATTTAGCAGGTCTTTAATTGTTGCTTGTAGAATTTTTCCACCTTTCTTAATGCTTTTATTCCACTGCATTTCCAGACTTCCTTCAGTTTTTTAGTTCATTCTGCTGTTACACTCTCCCTCTCTCTTTTAATCCTCTGATTTTTTAAAAGTTTGTTTTTGCTGAGGTTACATGATCTCCACCCTACTTTTTCCTTCATACACCTTAGAAGAGGTTAATCTTATGTTATTGTCCCTTTTCACCATTTACGTAACATTGTATTTAATATCCATAACTTGATTTTAATAGTTTTCTTTGCCGAAAGACTCTAATATCTTACTCTTGGCTTATTGATCTTGGTAATGTTTGTGGAACTGGAGGTAGGCTTATGGAAAAGAGAGCATATCTGTTCAAATTCTGTTAGACGTTTTGGTCTTTTTTAAAAGAATAATTTTTACCGATTTTTAATTCATCCTTCCACATTTATTTAAAACATATTTATAGCCTGTAATTCCAGCACTTTGGGAGGCCGAGATGGGTGGATTACTTGAGACTAGGAGTTTGAGACCGGCCTGGCCAACCAGGGAGAAACCCCATCTCTAGTAAAGACACAGAAATTAACTGGGTGTAGTGGTGCACATCTGTAATCACAGCTATTAAGGAGGCTGAGGTATGGGAACCACTGGAACCTGGGAAGCGGAGGTTATAGTGAGCCATGATCATGCCACTGTACTCCAGCCTGGGTGACAAAGCAAGACTGTCTCAAATAAATAAATGTATAGATAATAAAATAAAATACTTAAAGTGCTTTAAACATTTTTTCCCAGTACATTTACTTTTTCCTCCGCAGTTCTTTTTAGTCAATTATTTTTGAGTACTTGTATATCGTATAGTCATCTTAAAAGAATTTTATTGAATTTATGCTCAGATTATCTTTTGTTTCAAATTTGCATAAAGGTAAATTAATTATCACAAGTGGTACGTAAGATAGAAGTTGGGTAAGAATGCTTAGAATTCTGTTGGACAGTCTTCCAGGAGTCCTGAGGGGGTGGAATTGGGGGTAGGGGCAGTAAACTTCTGTGGGTCATGGAAGAGGATGATGGAGAGAGATTTTTGTGAAAGGGTGGTCAAGTATTTCTCTCTCTGTCAATTTGATGGAAGAAAAGGAAGGTTAATTGAGATAATACATACACTCAAGGGGAAGAATATGCATTTTTTTTGTGTATTTTCAGCACTTGTCTAAATAGAGAAAATTAAGCAATACTAAATTGGTAAGATTACTAAATGATAAACCCAGTAGGAATATAGTGGAACTTCTTGTTACATTTTAATTGGTGAAAAGTCAGTGGAGGTTAATTTTAGGTAACAGATTGCCATTACTCCTTTCATTAAAACTGACATTTTGGTCAAAAGACTGGTGTTTTTCTTAACATGAAAAATATGTGAAGCACCTTTATAGTAGAATGTAAAACATAGTGATTCATAAGAATGATAGGAGTTGTGTCGGTATTGTGAAACATACTGTGATTTTACTTTTGTTATATAGTCTACCTACTGTAGTGTACTTAAAATTATTTTTGTACTAAATGCTGGTCAGAACCAAATGTTGCTTCAGTTTTCGGAAGATAATCAAATGTAGTGAATACATTGATTCAATTTGTGAAATTTAGAGAAATTAATTTGAACAAATGCTCTAAAGCATTTTTTTACGCAACAAATCCCTAATGCTTCCAATGTGCCAGGCGGTGGTATAGACCAGCTTTCTAGGAGTCATAGTCTGCTACAGCTCTTACTTCACTTCCCACAGATATTCAGTGGTGTGCTCCTTATTCCTTTCTTTCCCCAAACAGTTGTTACAATCATGTCTTTGATTATTCCTTTTTGCTATAATAATTTGTGTTACCACTCATTCTCTCCTGACCATACTATTTTAACAACTTTCAACTGGTCTACTTTCTAGCCTGATTCACAATGATGCCAGGATAATCCTTGGAAAACACAAATATGATCCTGATACTCACCTGCATAATAATCTTCAGTGATCCTCATTACATACCACTTTGCTTAGTAAACTGTAAAGGGCCTTTCACAATTTTTTCTTATTTTTTCATCCTTACGCTTTCACCTCACACTCAAAATTACCTTGCAGGCTGCTTGCAGTTCTGTGAACTACTCACATTGTTTCACATTTTCATGCATTTGAACATACTTTACTCTACAGTTGTAATATGGAATGCCCTTTTTAAAATAATATTATTATTAAAGTAAGAATTTGAATACTATCACCAGCAAAAATAGTGTTAGTAGCTAAATCCCTAACCATGTGCCAGACACTGTTTTATCTCTTCACCCTCATTTAGTTTTGTAACAATACTATGAGGTAGGCATAGATGAGAAATCTGAGACACAGGAAGTTTTATAGCATATCCAAAGTCATATATTTGACCTTGGAGACTGTCCTCTAAGCTGCTACATTACATTGCCTCTTCTTGCATGAGACTGTTCAAGCATCACTGCTTCTGAGTTCCTTTCAACACCCTACTCTCCATCTCTCAGGAAAAGTAGACTGTTTCCTTGTTTGAATCTCTGCTGATTAACAATGGCTAAACACTTAGGACATGTTAGGCTATATTAACTACATTTATATTCTTTGTCTTGCTTCACAAGGACAGGAATACTGTGTCTGTATATCTCATTCATATGTCTTTAGTGGTTGTCACATACCTAATCACAAGGCAAAGGGATAAATAAATGAATGAATGAATCACTTAATTTTAAAAGTATAGGGAACTTTATGGCCATCCAATTTAACCTCCTTATTTTATTGATGAAAAGCCTAAGGTGAGGTTAAGGGTATGTGATAAGAATACGAGATATTAGTATGGATAGTTGACCAAAGTTAAGTTTTACTGGTATTTATAGTAGTTAGTAACCCATTTAATTTACTCCAAAGCCCAAATCAAAGGAACTGGCTTTATAGTTAATTGAGAGGGTGTTTTAGGTAGCCTTGGCAGAGTCTGATTTAAGTTACAGCATTTAACATATTCTGTTAATACAGTGTTTTTGGAATCATGTATATTTTATATTGATTGTCAGTATAATGCAGAAACTTGTCTGAATTATATGCCTCTGTAGGTCCTCTGAATTCTTTCTAATGTCTGATATAAAGTTGTTTCTTTAAGAATTAGATTGGAAGGTCCTCAAGCATTCTAACATGAACCCTTAGTAAAACTATATTCAGTAATTTTGCAAGAGTGTGTGTTTTCTGTTTTAACCTTCTGTTAAAGACCAGAAAATGTGGCAAAAATCTGGGAAGTAGATATATGAGATTAATGACACTGTTCTTTCTACTTTCTTATATATTTAAAATTTTTATAATAAAATAAAGCCTGGAAGTTCTGATCTATAGTTTGGCTTTTTAAAAACGGAAGTGTTCATTTGTAAATACAGGTATTCATAGGACACTCCATATCCTTTACAGTTTCTCTCTGGACTTAACACTACTATAGTAAACAAGTAATTTATGTATTTTTATTGACTTTCATACATACAGGATTTTTTTCTGACAACTGGTTTTACATGATGCCATGTTTTTAGCTGAAGATCAGTGATAGGAAACTCATAGCTTCCTGAGACAAAAAGCTCCAAACAAGCTTACGTTTAGTTTTGTATTACAAAACAAAATAGATAGTGTTAGTCACCATTGTGTCTTAAATTTGTTTTGCACC